TCCAGTTACGGGAGCATTCGAGGATGATGCCGAAGTTGATGGAGCTCCGGGTGGCAATGGTGGCGGTGGTACATTTTGTAAATTCCACGGCCGCGAATCATAAGGGCCTCCTCGTAAGTTCGCCTGCTGCTTGCTCTTGCCCTTTCCTTTTACGGAAGGTTGCAATCTGTTGTAAAGATCTGTAAGCGGCGGCTTTGGCGTAAGATTGAAATCCGTTGGCCGGGTATGCGCTGGTATGCCGCTTGTGGTACTGGAAATGTCTGGTGGCGGAACTTTTGGAGGAGGGACTTTTGGTGGTGGAACCTTCGGTGGTGAAGGTTTTGCTGGTGGTGGCATTGGAGCTTGTTTCACCGGTACAGGTGGTGGGTTGCTTGGTGGCTTTGGGATTTGTGGTTTTGCCGGTGGAACGGGCGGTGGAGTGTGCAGTGGAGGGCCTAAAAGGTCCTTCGGGATGTTGCCTCTTCTGGGCGCTCTGTCCTCAGGGAGGAAAGACATTGCACGGCCGACTGAACCACATGGCATCCCTTTTAGGGGAGCTTTGGGTCCTTTTGCAGAAGAACTGCCTTGGCCCTTGCCCTTGTCGGCAACACTCTGATCTGCACTGACGTTCCGTTTAGGGAAGTCCTCCTTTGGCGACGCTGGTCCTTGAGCACGAGGTTGAGGCGGCTTGTACACTGACGATGTGTGCGTCCCAGTTACGGGAGCAGGTGGTCGCGGTACGCCTGGCGGAGGAATTCGGTCGTCAGTCCATGACGCGATACGACCCGACTGATCACGATCTTCTTTCTTCCTCCACTGTAACCTCGGTCTCTTGTCAGCATCGGCAACACCTTCAATGTACGACTGCGAACGCTTCCGAGTCAACGGCGGCCTATTTACAGGCGCTTGAGGAGTTGGAGAATCTCGCTGGCCAAATTCCAGCAAAAGCTGTTCCAACCGCAAAACTTCATAGGAAGTCATGCCCTGACCGCAGTCAGCAAATTTTGGGATAGGTGTTGACATGCGTTGTTCAATGTTCATAAATCCCATTTGCCCAATCGACTGCCCGCGGTCGCGTTCCTGCATGTTGACGGACTGCTGGGCATTCCGCTGGTACTGAATATTGGCATAGTTTTCATTCTGTTCCGCAAATTTGCTCAAAATCTTGTAAATGCCCATCGTGTCTCCACGAGGTATGCGGATAGAATGAATGTCGCCGTAGACGTCGTCGGTGGGGATAAAGCCCTGGATTCTGATTTCGTCTCGGCTATTGCCAATTACGGCAGCGAATTGTCGAAGGGACAAACTCTCGACGATAGCTAACCAAGAAGTTCTCGTCGACACCTTGCTTGAAGCAGGTATGGAGGTTGTCAACGCCGCATCGAATGTACGCGAGCTTGGCGAGGTCAACCCTGTCTTGGCGATCCAAATCACTGACAACTGACTTCCCTTTTGATCTCTGCTTGGCGGATCGTGAGGGTGCTGGTAGTTGCAGTGACGCAAACAAGTCTTCCTGTGCCGCATCAAATGCGGTGCATCCCTCTCCGGTTAAGGAGGTGGCGAAGACATCGTCGCGATTGAATCGGTCGTAGACATTCTCATACCCTGCCTTCAATGCTCTGCGAAGACGGCCTCGAGCAGAAAGGATAATCTGACTGTCAACCGAGGGGTTGCCACGAGCGGGAGGACGACCGGACTGCAAGTCCTGTGCGGCAATGCTGTCAAGCATGCTCGTAGCCGTCATGTTGGTGGGAACGCCCCCCTGCTGTTGCACCGCCTTTGCACGTCGCATTTGCAACCTCATAAACTTAGAAATAGGACCGTCAGCTGTACCACCCTGAAAGACTGCTGCGCATCTGTGGCATGACGCCATTCCGGCTAAGGAAAGCGTTGTGCACTTGTCGCAACTGAACGTGCGGAGATGGAGGAAGTACCCGCTCTCAATTTGAGGAACTGCGGTATCATGGTTCGCCTCCATGGCCTCCTTCTTGATGGCACTGCTTGCGGCTGTGCGCTCCTCGGGTGTAGTTTCATTCGTGCCCTCCAAGACGGTACGCACTTCTGCAACTTCGCCCGGGATCAAACTGACATCGTCCTGTGGCGCCCCAACTTCCATGTTCGCTGGATCCATAGCCCGTGGACTCTCAAGGTAGAGTACAAAAGGTACGCTTACCGGACTAGCAGGGTTAGCTAGATAGTTAGTGCTATCAGAGCTGATCCTGTAAAATACACCAAGAAAACTATGCTTATTGGAGAAATCAGAGCTCTACTATATATGCTCTACCTCTTCATCCGTGTGAGTTTGATGAGTTTGCAGCTTTTGGAACCAAAGGGAATTTGCCCCGTTTGGAAGCCTTGACGGCCGGCGTGTCCGAGGACAGGGCACGCCGGGTCGCATGCACCGGATCTGTCGCTGTGTCAGAATCATGGCCAAGCAAGAAACCCTTCGAGAACTTTTTGTCCTGTGCAAGTCCACTCATCCCCCCCCAGAAATCACTGGAATTCCAAGCGGGGGGTTGTGTTTTTGGTCCCGTTCCGGAAGAACCCCAAAACATCCCGGTCCGGAAAACGCACCCACAACCATCGGACCGGGCGCCTGTCCCACTTTGGAGGTTGCCTCCTCCACGGCGCCCGACACCCTGAGTCTGGCCGGTCGCCGAGTCGCTTGGATCTTGAAGTCTTCGTAGAGCAGATCGAGCGATCGAGTTCTTCAGTGGAAAAAAAAATATGAAAAGGGGATTTTGGTTGAAAGAAGGTTAAGGTCGCCCGATTCCCGTGAAAAGGTTTTGCAGGTGATCACTGACTCGGTGGGAAAGGGAGTCACACCGCGATGGGGAGTTTGGAGAAGGATGGAAAAAGCTTTCTGGAATCAGTGTTGAACGGCGGAACTGAGGAATCTCATGAAGAGACGAAGAAGACTTTCACATTCGAATTACCACACTCTCTATCTTGCCGTTTCCCGATGCCTTGGGAGTTCAAAGACTATTTAAAAATAGTGGTCTATATAGGGGACCCAATTTCAGGAATGTCCTTCATCAAGGAAGAAGTATAGTCGTTGGACTTCTAGGGGATGCCAGCCGGTCGGATTATGAATCTGCTACCGCTTTCGCACTTCTGCCAGAAGCCTTGGACTCAGATGTTCTCCTACAACCATGGGATCCAACTCAGTCCGAACACCTTGACATACCCACCTAGCTGCGCCCCCCTCTCACGTGGCTCAATCACTCACTGATCTGAACAGCTGACCTACGGACCTAGCCACGCATGACCCGGGCAAGACCCGAGGAAAACACCACCAACGAACTGGAGCTCTTGCGACCCCGTGTTGCTGTCGCCCTCGGCTTCCTTGGCTCGCTCGGCTTGCCCCCATGTCGATGCTGGTGGCATCGGCTGGTCGCATCGCTGGGTCCGCACCCCTTGTCTCGAACGCGGCGGTCTTCCCACGAAGGCCGCCCCATCGGCCTGGTGGGAACGATGCTTCAGTGCAGCCAAGGAACAACTTCGGAGCACCTTGGCGGTGGAACCGAGACAAACAAGGCTCGCGGCTGAGACGACATCATCTTCAAAGCAAGAAGAAGAACGCGAAGAAAACGTGACAGGCGCAAGGGCGGCGTATTCGCCGTGGGCCCAAAACAACATCTTCCCTGTAGAAATGGATGCACCCATGACAAAGATCAAACATCGCGCTAAGCCAAACCAAGGCACCCTTCACTTCTTGCACCATCCGTTCGGTGTCCTGCCGAGGATTTCGTGGGGGGGCCAGTCGAGTCATCAAGTCATCCACTTGGAGCTGTTGGACCCTGAAAACCTTGGTGAAGAACAATGTCTTTGAAAACCGGAGTCACAATCCAGGTTGTTTGGAGGAAGTCGAGGTGCCTCTGAGCCACACCCCAGCATGTGACTCCTGGTTGATTTTTCTCTTGCTTTCCCAAGCGTCCAAAGTCCAATCAAAGGATTCAGCCAACGGGCATCCGATCTGTCCTCCACTTCCTCGCTTCGGCATCTGTTCGTCCCTCACTCAAGACCCCCGCACGCACCCGAGCCGCCGAGCCATCGTCCGTCTCGCCAGTCTCATCGGTCCGTCTCTCCCGGGCTCCTCCTGCGCTTCTTCCAGCTTCCTCTTGACCCCTGCAGCCCGAGTCGAACCCGCGGCGTGACAGACGCCGCGAGCCAAGTCGGCGCGACAGACGGCGTGTCGGGGTCGACTTCAGGGTGGTCGTCTGGAGGGCCAAAGGACCCCCGGAGAAACCGTCTCGACCTCGCATCGAGCCCCCGAGAAACGGTCGATGCGAAGGGTGGAGAAAACCCCGAGAGGCGCGGCGCTGGGTGGGCGCGGCGCTGGGTGGGGCCCCTTTCTGGACGTTCCCGTCGCTTACGGGATCGACTGCTTAAGGGTACCGGGTAGCAGTGACCCAAGCCCAAGCCCCACCGGCCTGTCTTCAGCCACTCAGCAGTCTTCGCAGGGCCTGGGGGAAGGCACCGTTTGTTTGGGGCGTGAGAATTCAACCTCCAAAATCAATTCCAAAGATTGTGTACAAAGTGCAGTTTCTGTAATAGGTTATAGGACGACTCGACGACTCATGTGGGCGACTCTCAATCCTTCCTGCGGTGCCCGACTCGCCACGCAACAAACAGCTACGGAACACGTGCGCCGGTTGACCGGTGGCGGCGGTCAAAAGGATTGCGTAAGCCGCCGGTGGCGGGGCAGCTGAAAGGAATTGGCGATGCTGGTGGTGATGTTGTTTAATTTGGTTGCATTGTTGCTCCAGCACTGAAGAATAAGATGAATAAGTAAATGAAAAGAGGGAAGGACAGCGTCGAAGACGAAAAGGCAGGAGAGCTTGCCAAGGCTTTCTGCAAACCAATCACCGAACAACTGCAGGCTTGAGCTGTCCACCCCATTCTCCTCGTCAAGCGAGAACACTTAGTAGCTTCATGTCCCTTGCTCACCTCCCCATTGTGCGCAGCAAGTGTTCTTTGGTACGAGAGATGGTGCTGAGACCCTGATCTCGCTTCTTATCTCACCCGTCCAAGCTTCCCTCACACGACAAATTGGCCATTAGAGCCCAAGCAGTCGAGTGACTCATTTTCAAACTTCGAACAAGCGATTGAAAGGTCAAACGTCCGAGATTCTCAACGAAATCTCTGCAACCGCCAGGCATTGCTGTTGCTGGTCGAGTCGCCCATTCCTGTGCGATCTGTTTGCACTTCGCATAGGCGTCCAGTCCTTTCAAAAGGACCTTCCGTCCGAGCGATGAGTTTGATGCCTCTGCTGGCGGCATCCGGAAGACAACTACCAGTGCACTCAGATTGTCTGTGCTTTTCAACTTCTGGGCTTGGTTCACGAGCGATTCAGCCGCAGCTTGCGGGGATCGTGTTCCTGAGCTTTCAACGGATGAAGAAGAAATGGATCACAACAACTCAGGAGAAGCGAAAACAAAGGATGCCATTCAATTCAATCAATCATTGAGGGACGGAAACGATGAAATCAGCAAAATTCAACACGTGCTCTGCAAAAACCAAGGTTTCTCCGCAACTGTCGTCTGATCGACTGGACAGCGTCCAAGTTTGTCATGCTCTCGAAGATGAACTCCGTGTCGGCATCTACCGAGAAGATGGTGACCTCTGGTTCCGATAATAGTCCTGGATATTGTGTCCATGTTGAGCGTGTGAAATCTCCCAAGGCGCGGCTCACTGAGAGGCCACCTATCAGGTAGCCATCAGATGTGGTTTGGATCCCTTGCATGGTCAGGCGTTCTTTTTCGCATGGCCATCACGGTCAAGGATCCTCCTTTGTAGGCCAAGGCTCGGCAGTCTCCGAGGTTGGCCACAGCGAGCTCGTGTTCATCTCGCACAGCGATGCAGGCACATACGCCCGAGGATAGGGGATAGTCCGGGACGTCTGCTTCATCTTGCTGCAGGTGGCCCAACAACGCTGCATCAGCCTTTTGAAAGGCTTCTTTCATTCTGAGGCCCATATCTGGCCCCTTTTCCTTTCCCAATAGCTTTGGGAATGCTTCTTTCACATAGGTCACGACGGCTTCAGCTCCGCCGTGGCCGTCGTAAACTGCGAAGAAGTTGTCTTGCACGTCAACGGCATCTTCCATGGCTCCGCGGCCATTTTGCATGACGCACCAGCCATGCTGGTCGTCTCCATGGGCACACCCCTCCAATGGCTCAGCAAAAGGGCGTTAAGATCCTCGTTGGGACCTGAGGGCCCTTTCCGTTTGATCCGACCTTACGACAGCAACCCCCTTCTGAACCACATGCTTCTTTGGATCTTGCTTGACTGCTTTGCCTAAGTTTCGGGGCGGGAAGGCGGCCGTCGCGGAAGCGATGCGAGGAACTCCCTCGTCCTGTTCCGCCAAAAAGGGTCAGCTGATGACATTGCGGGGGGGGGCCACAAGCTTGCGAGCACACACTGAAATTGGCAGAATCGGTCGCCAAAACAATGAGTCCGCGCCGTGTGCATGGAGCAGGAAGGTAGACAAATCAGTGTCCTCCCCGGTCCTCCCCTTCCAGGAGGTTCCAATGTTCACGAGAGCGCTTTGAGCGGGAGACCCCCTCAAGGTTGAGGGGTTCTGGTCTGACTGCTTTCTTCACCACAAAATCATCGGAATTCTCTTCAACTTTCAAATAGGACGTTCATCCCCAAGTAGGACCCGGTGAAGCTCTCCTAACGCCCTTCAGAGCAGTGGCAAGACGTCCAAAGACGACCGAAAAGGCCCAAAGAAACAACTCACAACATCTCACAACTCAGAACCCCTCCCCCCGACTCCGAGGACTCTTCACCGAGGCTACCGCTGGCTTTGAGATCTTCCTTGGCCTGACCAATTCGTTGGAGAAGGTGGGATGGTTTCGTTCGGTGGAGGAATCTCAGTAAACCTCTGCTCACGGCCGTCGAGAAACTCCAGCCAAACCAAAAGGCAAACACACTCGGCTGCCGCGTTCATGGCCAGTTCACATCGCTCTCCTTTTTCGTTGTTGCACAAAACACGCAGCCGCAGTGCTGCGCTTGGGTCGGGCTGTTCACCAGTTTCTTGTGATCTGGCCCCGGCATGCCAAAAGCTCAAGGACTCGGCAGAGCCTTCGGCTGACGTGCTTTTGACGGTTGCTCAGCATGTGCGTTCGAGAAGTTCTGTATAGATGATCATTGCTCCGTCCCTTGAATGTCAAGAAAAATTAATCTGAATTATCCCTGGCCTCTTCAGGCAGGGCAGGGCGAGGCCTCCTCGCCCCCGTATACTGTACCACTCCGAATTCAAGGTGTTCAGATGCAAGCCTCAGGTTCCCGTGGCGTGTTCGTCACCGAACCCGGAGCGGGCCCGCCTCGCGGAGGCGGTTGGTTCCCCCCGCCCCGAGGCTGTTCCACCTCGCACCCCGAAGAAAAGTCGCTCTGGAAGGGTCGGACCAGTCCCCAGGAGGGAGGTATCATGGACGAAACGCACATACTCGAGATATCTCTCTGACTCTTGGATCCCAATTTCTGCACAGAGACGAGAAAGGGTCACCACCCAACATCATCCAAAATCCCTCGTTTGGAAAAAAGAAAAGGTTCTCAGAGGTGCGCCGCATCAGTGGGGGTGGGGGGAAGTCTTGGGTCGACGGGGGCCTGCAAAGGGCCAAAAGCGATTCGCCAGCTCCCAAATTGTTTCCTCCAAGCCAGCGAGGTAGCTCTTTTGTCCAGACCCCGAACCCAAGCCAGTGCAGCTCGAGAAGCTGATCCCCCCAAACACTGCGACGTGAAGATATTCCCGTCCAGGGTGTTTCTCCTGGTGGCTGGTCACATGTCGTTCCTTCGCTTCATGCAGTCTTTGGCCAGCCTGGATTTTGACCCACTTGAAACATCCTATCTTCCTTCCAAGGGTGAACCATGCTGGGAACGGGCCGGTGGCAGTGGATTCGTTGCTTGTGCTCCTTTGGGGCACCAAGCGGGGGTAGGACCGCACAACAAAGACATGGAGGAAAAGCACCACCTCGCTGAACAGAGCTTCGGCAACCCATCCACAGATAGATGGGATTTGTGTATTTTCTAGGACTCCAAAGGACATGACAGTCATAGTCGAGCAAACCTAGACCATGCTGGGATTTGAGAGACCATGCCAGGGTATTTCCCCAAAGAACGGAATGGCCGACGACCCCGAGGTGTTCGATGACGAACCCGCATGGCCGAGTCGATGAAGTCACAGGTCGCTCCGGGGTGTGCGTGCCTCGTCCCACTGTGGATGGGATGGGATGTGACTAGTCCAACGACCCGCCCTGGAGCGATTCGGTGTGACACCATGTGTCCATCCACACCCCCCTGTGAGTCGAAGATGGAGCCAGGGCCGACGTCGCAGCTAGCAGCTCCTGAGCAGCTCTGCTCCCTCAGTGATCCGACGAGTGGTGTGCTTGTAGCCGTCCTGGAGGTGGGGGAGGTGGGGGGCGGCGAGGACCAAGAGTCACCCGGAAGCTTCGTCAGCTTGCGAGGTCCCGAAAGGGGATCCCTCAAGCTCCCAAGCGGGGCCTACCCTAAAGTCAGAGGGGCTCGAGTGGAAGAGAGGCCTCGAAAAGGGAAGACAGGTATGTAAGGTATCCGAGGCAACAGGCTGGGTCTGTGAAAACTAAAGCACAAAGCAAAAGCAACCCGTGGGCCAGCTGCGTTCAGGTATTGCTGGTCCACCGCAGCTTCGCCCATCTGGGACTTCCCCAATCAGGGCAGAGCAGGGAGGCACATGACCCGATGAGGCAGTGTCGTGTGACCCGATGATGCATTCCTGGGTTGAGGGGATCAGCCAAGGCTGCACGAGTCGTTCAACAAATGTTCTAGTTCTGGCGTATCCCTCGAAAGAAAGATTCGATGTGTCCTAGAATATGCAAGGACGGATACTGTCCCTCGATTCTATGGGAGATCGTATATACAGAAGAGAGAGAGAGAGAGAGACCCAGTCGGCACCGGCAGCCCCTAACGCAAAAAGAAGAAAAATCTCAGGCTCTCGCCTTGATCTGCAGCAGTAGCGCCGCATCTTCCTCTGCGGGGTTCATCATCGGAGCGGCGGGCAACTCCTGAGACGACAGGCAAAAAGCACATGGTTTTTTCCACACGGATGCGATGTTCTGTGCATGCGAACAGGCCCAGCATTTTGGGCCATGGTCTGTTGTCCATCATCTTCCAGTCAATTTCAGTCGGTCTCACCCCTGGTGTCATCCTTCAGCCGATGGAACTGAAGCGATCGATCTGAAGGGTGCGGCCTGGCCGTTCGGCGATTCCGACCGACATCTCCTTGTCATCCTCCAGGGTTTCCAAGAGCATCTTGTACAGGGTCGCCTTGGCCTCATAAGCCTCGAGTCGTCGAAGCGCCCAATGGTCCGAACAAGATTTCGGGGTTGGGGGGATGAGCTAGGCCCCGATAGGCCCCAGGACCTCTGGTGACCTCCTAGGAAGAAAACTTCCCAGGACAGGGGCCCACGACTGCCCGGGAACCCAAACGTCAACCCCCAGCGCCCCGCTCCCTCGGGCACGACGCGTTCAAAGACCTCGGCCAGCTCATGGAAATTCTGCGCCCCGGTCCACCGCATACCTGCCCCGGTCTGCGGAAGCACACGAGGCTCACGGCCGTGATGGCTGGGGAGAGACAAAACCGACCGGGGGCCCGGATTGAGAATGGCAGGCCAGGCACTCATGGAAAACTGGTATGATTGGATTGCTTTCCAGCACTCCATGAGGATCTTCAGGCATTGGGGCATGGGCCGTCGGAGCTACTGCCACGGATGTGTTCTGCCAGCGCCAGGGCCCGGCCGATCGGATTGGGAGAGATGCCCCGATCCCCATGCCCCGCCACAATGGAGGCCAGCCGCGATCCGCTCGGATGGACGCCATCGAAGCGTGAAGAGGGTCGACCCTCCATCGACGGCATCATCCGGGCGTCCCAACCACGCGTCACCCCACATCAATGGAATCTGCTACATATACCCTGCAAGTGGACTAGGACGGACCTCAGTCACTGGAGAAACAAAATGAGCAAGAAAGTACTTCTCATGACTTCCTTGGACTGGATCCGGGGATGTCCTTTTGGTATGTCAAACAGAATGTGTCTCAAAAGTCTCGCATTTCACGGCCAAGTTCTTTTCTTCACTTCCCGTTGTAGACCAGAATCCGAACCAGAGTGCCTTCGCGCGTTTTTGCTGCACAAGTGCACCAACCGACCCTTGCTACATCTTGCTCCCATGACTCCTCATGAATCCTCATAAACCAAACAAAAATCCCTCCAAAGTCCCATAACTCGAGCTCAATAACCAAAACAAAACAACCCAAAGGTCGAAGGACAACAATTGGCGAAACCGTGCTAAATCCAGAAGAGCCCCGGTTCTTTTTCTTATTGTTTAAATCCCTTGAAACTCCAACCACATCTTGAGGAGCTAGGAAGAAAAAAAAAAAACAAAACCCACGCACCGCATGCACGCACCTGAGTAGCACCTTAACACCTTTTTCGAAATAAACGCAGGTCAATCGACCGACCCCCACCCCAGTCTGGGTCTAAAGGCACGTCCAACCTCTGCCCTTCTCCGCCGTTTCTCGCCTTCCGGCAAGTTCTCTGCACCTTCGTGGGCTGCACGGAGATAGCGTGCCGTCTCCTGGTGACGGCAGTTCGGCAAGTTGCGGCCGGGTCGGGGGCACATCCCCGAGGGCACAACACTCGTTTTGGGAGGTACCCCAAAGATTTGGGATGATTTGGGTGACCTGGAACTTAAGTGACCTCTACTTTGAACACTCCTAGGTCCTAGAACTCATAAGAGGCTATTTATAGACACCTCTTAGAAGGTCCTGGTTACCCAATCTTTTTGGGGCTCCAAACCGCCCAACGAACCAGCCGCTCGCCGCACACGTCCGGCACAAGGCTCACTCCTCCAAGGATTCCTTCGCCACCCTCGCCCGCACCAGCATGTCCTCGGTCTGATGAATCGCCACCTGCGGTGAACGCCACGAACATCCGGCACGCGGAACTCATCTGCAGGATCTTCTGAACCATCAACTGTTGAACCTCGTGAGTTCAAAAGAAGGGAGCTGGGAGAGTCTGCAAGATTGAAAAAGAAATACAGTAGATCAACAAGGGCTGCGAAGGACCGAATATGAATACAGAAAGGAGCGCTCTCAGAGGGCGCGTTGGTCAGCAACTTGTTCAAATCGGCGACCGTTTTGTCAGTGTCCCTTCACAACTTGTGTGAGGTGGACTTTGCATCCCCATGGTCTGTGCGGCTTGTGTGTGTGTACCCCTTGGAGTCACAGGGGTCCAGTTGGATTTGTTGCAGGGGGCACAGGCCCATCGTGGATACCTGTGCCAACGAAGCTGCTCCACGATTGGGGAAGCGGAGATTGATCACCTCCGTGTACCTGCTTTGAACACATTGACTCCAGTGGTCTCCCTCGCTCAGGCTGTTTTGCAGGCCCATCAGGTGATGTAAAGTGCTAATGAGTTCCGCAGACTTGCACGGAACGTCGTCAACCTGTCGCCGTTGTTC